CATGTCATGTGTTTGTCTTTTTAAAGACGAATTATATGCTATGATTTTTTCTGACGGATATTCTCAAGTTAAAGTTGATTTCATGTAATCGAATGAACTATCTTATAAGTAAAGTCGTCCCAGGAGCGCAACTCAACAATATTGGCAATATCATTTTAAAGTCGTCTACTTTAAAATGCATAATGTATGTCTGAATTGTCAATATAAATGAGTCAGATAAAATTAAATTATTAGAAGAATTTTTTCACTATGTAACAAAAAACAAAATTTGTTTAATTTACTGTTTGTATTTTGAGAACGATTTCCGAATTGGAAATTGAAACGTCAATAAACGTATTTTTATCTTTAATTGTGGCTTATTCCCTGTTATAAATAGTAATTGATTAGGGATGTGTTGTAAGAAATAGTTCATGTATTTTATTCATGTCCAATTTTTCTTTAAGGTACTGACATTCACAGCGACCTATGGAAATTAACGAACGAACCGCCCCTCCAGGTTTCTCATTCTCTATCGTATTTTTACCTCTTCCACCGTTAGGTGAAAGTTAGCCAAGTGCCGAACACGGACCGCAGTGGTCCCATGAATACTAACAAAAGTGGTTTTACAGACAGTGGTAGACATACCTACCTGAAATAGAGGACACAGAGTATTTATATGATTTGCTTTTTGGTTTAGAATTATTTTGATCTAATCTAGGTCATTTCCTTGCAATTTCTGACCACTCAATTAAAGCTTGCATATATGATTCTTCTTCTTACGTCCAAAACTTGTGGTGTTTCTCAAATAAATATATAATATTTTAAACTGGCGTTGAAAGTGTTGGGTTGGACATGTGTCATTTTTCTTTAAACTATTCGTCTATATAAGGATATATTGTTAAACTGAAAAAGTAGAAATGTCACATTTATGGACATGTAGGATTTCTCAAATAAGCGATTCATTTGTATGTCCTCGATGTGTGTAAATGTTGCGATATGTGTATTTAATATATTGATAAATTTTTATTTTTAATATCAATTAATATAATTAAATTTCTTTCACTGAACTTTGTATTTGTTCCTTATCTCTTTGGTTTAAAATTGATTATTCACGTGAATTTTTGTGTAAAATGAAACTGGCCTTAATAAGTTACCAGTTCCAAATAATGCTAAATATTCAAGATTTATTTAATAGTACAATTTTATATTTCTTTATTTATTTATTAAATATTTTATTCCTGAATTCGGTACATAACATTTTGGGCAATATGTACACAAGACATTTACCTTACCAGTTACAACTAATAATAAAAGATGTAGGATAATAGATTGATAATAGGTTGCCAGCCAAAATTCATACATATTTTCAATTCAATTAATAGTAATTAGTTTTTGACAAATATTTTATTTTCTTCATTTATTTTTTAAATAAAATACACTGTTCATCACGTTCATGAATATTTTTGTATGTCAAATTAAAGTTAATTTTTTTCTTCATATAATAATATAAGGTTGACTGAGAAAAATGGTCGCAAATTAGGGTTGCCATCTGTTACAACGCAAGGTATGAAAGATAAAGTAAAATAGAGTTAGGGCGCAACGACAATGGTTTGAAAAAGTGATAATATGTATATTATTATAATATCTATCGACCATTGAGTTAAAATCTAGATTCTAACTCGATGCTCTCGACAAATGGTTTAAAAACTCATACAACGGACACTTCAAAGCAGTAGCGTTGCGCTAGCTGTCTTTTATTTTATCTTTGATACCTCGCGGTTTTAACAACTATCCACTCTAGTTTTCGATAGTTTTTTCTCAGGGAAAAAAATTAGCTTAAATTTGATATAAAAAAACATGCATATACGTCATAAAAAGTGTATTTTATTTAAAAAATAAATTTAGGAAATAAAATTTTTGTCAAAAATTAATTACTATTAATTGAATAAAAAATATGTATTTGCAGCCACATTTTAACTAACAATTTATTATCAATGTATTCTCCTAATTTTGTTTGATTAACTACGTTATGAACGTAGTGATCCTGCAGTGGGATCTTATAGTATGGAGATATCTATGAGTTATTTTGCAATTCAAAATGACGAAAAACAGAAAAACTATTTTTTAGGTATTTCCGTACAATTTTCTGAAAATTATCATTCACACAAACCTTGTGATAATAACAAACACAACAGAATAATACGATTTTACATAAAACATTTTAAGTTTTATATTAAATTAAAGTCATAATCAAAACATTTTATTTACAAACGACTTATCAAAGTAAGTGTTCGATATGTCTACCATTTTCTTTAATTCATTTGTCAAGAAATTCATAGTGGGTTGCGAATGTTATGGGATTGTTATACACCCGTTGTTTTAATTCGCCCCATACACCAAAATCAGGCGGATTAAATTCTGCGTTACGTGGTGGCTATAATGTATAGTGGATGAATATATTCTTTTGGATACATATCCAAATCTTATGGTATATTATGAAACTGTATTTTATTTGTCGCAGAGGTTGATTAATGTATTAAACTGTGATTTGCGTTTGCTGAACTGCATTTATTGGTTACTTATACACACACACACACACACACACACACACACACACACACACACACACACACACACACACACACACACACACACACACATACACACACACACACACACACACACACACACACACACACACACACACACACACACACACACACACACACACACACACACACACACACACACACACACACACGGAATAACGTATCGATGACTTATTTATATGATTACGTTACAGCTTACAAGTAATTATAATAACATCTCAAATAAATGGACTATTATCATTTACTAACCAACTATTCTTATCCTGAACTAAATTGCCTGTATGTTTATAACATGATCAATTATTAGGACAACAATGATGTTATTGTAAAAATGCTGTCTTTAAGGTTAAATTTGTAGCAAAAGTAATATGAAACAAGACACATATGTGTTATTCCATACTTGTACCCTAGTTTCTAATTGTCCTAATAAAAATGGGTAAATAATTTACGTAATGAATAATAAGTATTCTTTTGAGATTTTTTATGAATTAAATAATTATATCAATATCTCACATTTCCAAGGAGTATGACTACCACGACCAATGCAACGTTCAGAAAAGTTGTATTTAAGTATGTTCTCACTGCCTTCTCTCTAGACAATGGTGGTGTACCATCTTGCATAAACTACATATTTTGGGTTCTCAGCATTTCATAATAAAGAAAAAGTAATATAACTTCAGTATAGAAACTTAAGAAAGCGATAGAAAGGAAAATTGTAAACATGACGGCCAACATCTGCATAAGGACACGGCACCAAAAGAAGAAAATAAAAGCCTTTCTCCAATAAGACATTTAAAAGCCATAACAAAGCATTTTGTGATGTTACATTATCATCTTTGTGTTGTTTTAATAAAAATAAACTATTAATTATGCTTATACACAGGTATTCAGTGCTTTACCGCACAAATATCACAACTAAGAATTATTATGCAATTGACTTATAAAATGCGATTATCTCAAAAACGGTTGAATTTTAAAGTTATTAACAGATATATCTTTTCAACGTAAAAATAATATATCTTTAATATTTTTTAACACAAATAGAGCTAGCATAAAGAGCAAAAAAGTTAAGCGCAAATTTATGCCAATCATGTGGCATATGTGGCGCCCTCTATCAGTTACATTAAAGTATGTATAAAATTATAATTAAATTATAATTTTATACATGCTTTGTTCAAATTTGAACAAATTTTGTTCTACTCAAAAGCATCCAATTGTAAATATTCGTCTATAAATATTTACAAACGTAAAAGTTACAGCGAGAAATAAAATTTTAAATTTCTACTTTAATACCCTGTTTCTTTCTTAATATCAGCGAGTTGGCTTAAAACGTAATATTTTAAAGGGAAGCATCTATGGTTTCTGTTTGTACAATTACTTAAGGACCACCCTGTATAGACAGATATTTATAAGCTAAAAAGTTAGCCAATTTTGATAAAATGTTAAAATTTTTTTAATAATATCTTAAAACTAAAGCCTCGAATAACCCCTATTCGGGATAAAGAAATTAAATAACTTACTAATTATTAAATAATAAATATTAAATAAAGAGGATTAAAAAATAACTAGAACAATCTGATTAAGCAAATATAGACGAAAAACTGGAGATTGTGAATTTTGCCGTGGTATCAATAGCTAATAAAGTTTTAAAAACAGAAAAATACTGTATGAATAGATTGGATGTAAAATGAAATATTAAACCTTATTCAAGAAAGAATCAGGTGTGAATGAATCACCTAATAATGTAATTTTGAGTTATAATTATATTTTCATTTTCAATGCTAGTTTTACAGTAATATGTCATAATTATGAGCAGCGATGTTATACCGCTTTGATTTATGTAGATGTCGATTCTAAACTATCGAAATTGCCAATATTTGAATAGGAGTTGATTGCAATATCTTGTAATGCGTTGTTATTGTAGGTCCTATTATAAATAACGAACATACCTCTATTTACGGTATATCGTGAAGTTTCAGTTTGTTTGGTTACCATGTATACAATCGATTGAATTTTAAATAAGTAAAAATTCACTTATATATGTCACAGTTCAAACAATACTAGATTTTAATCTAATTTAGACAATAATTTAATATATGTAAGTACATTCTTTTTTGTCAAATTAAGTATTTTAAAAATATGTCTATAAGCACAACCTCTTAATATTTCACCACTTCGGTTGCGTATTGTTTCTCACTGTTTGCTATTGAACTTTTGTTTTCAAATACTTACTGTTTTGATGTACCTCTTTTCTCGTTCTATTTTCTTTTTAGCTTCCCTTTTTCTTGTTTTTTTTGGTTTAATCTCTTTTGTTTATTGTTACCAAACATTAATGTTAAAAATAAGGAAAATTTAATAAAATCAATTTAATTTCAGAGCCAGGTAACAATCTAAAACTGCCAATTAAACGATATGACAGATTACACAATTGAGCCAGAAAAAACGGTATTTGATTATTTAAGCGTTAACGCTGAGGATGGCGAGGAAGTGGAAGAAGAGGAAGAATTTTCTTATATTAGACAACTCGATAAAGTAAGGATACTACCCGAACCAGTAGATTTAACACATGAGCACCTAAAAGAGATTGGATATGAACTGGGTTTGATTAAATTATGTTGGCCAGAAATATTGGAACCTTATTTTGAAGACCGCACAAACTTTCCAGTGCGATATATTAAGAATAATGAAAAGGAGAAACTAATACTTTTGTATGCTGAAAATTTTAGGTTAGTAGACATTTTTTTAAATGATTTTTATTGTTTATTTTCTAGATTAGTAATTACTTTGATTCATTCAATGTTTTAATGCCTTTGTTTTAATGTCTTTGTTTTAATGTTTCTGTTCATGGCTAATTGTTGCCATTTTCTGCGCTGATCTTCCTTGCGTCTTTATCCATATTATCTCTCGATCTTAATCTTGGTCTGTCCCTACTGTTTTTAGTTGCTCTTGATACATGTCCACTCCATCTAAGCCTACCTATTTTTATAAAAGTTATTATAACCATATATCTATGAGCGCGTTCTATATATTGTTAGTTCTTTTGTTCGTCTTACATTTTTATCTACTTGTTTATTCCAAAATAATATTTATTCGTTAGCAGAATCTTTCGTTTTACTTCTAAAGACGTGTCATTATCGCTTACTATGAGGGAACCCAGGTAGGTCCTTCTTCTTCTAAAAACGCCTATATTCTAGTGATACTGGCGACCACATTGATCCATCTTATTTTATTCATATTAGCTCGAAATGAATCAGTTGACGTTCGATCAGTCCATTTCCTAGGATTGGAGAGCCAGGATATACGTTTGCGACCAGGAGCTCTCTTGCTTTTCTCTTGCTTTCTTACGGTGTTGATAATTTGATAATTTTCTTAGTTTTTGAAGAATGGTTAATTATATAGTGTATATATGAGACCCTTAACATTCGTCGGTGGCACCACATTTCAAAAGCATCTAACCATTTTATAGCATTTTCTGTAAGACTCCATCTTTCTACTCCGTAGAGGAGGATTCTAAGGACGTAACATCTAAGAATTCTTACGGGTATATTGGTACTTAAAGATAAGTTGCCTCTGCTACCTCGTTAATATGATGAAGCACATTTTGAAGACCTTCAATATTATTTGATAGAATTACTGTAGACGCTACAGTAATTCTATCAAATAATATTGAAGGTCTTCAAAATGTGCTTCATCATATTCACGAGGTAGGAGAGGCAACTTATCTTTAAGTACCAATATACCCGTAAGAATTCTTAGATGTTACGTCCTTAGATATCTAGTGCATATCTAATCACATTAAGTAGTTCTCAGTTGGTTCTTATTCCATATGGTTGTCTCTAATTTTATATAACTGGTCCGAGTAAATATTGAACAATGTTGGCGACAAAATGCAACATAGTCTGACTCCTCGTTCTATAGATTTCATCGGTGTAGTTATCTCCAATTTTTACAACAGCATTTTGATTTCCGTACAAATTTTTAATGACACGAATATCCTTGTCATCTATTTCGAGATTTTTAAACATTTGCATTAATTTTGCATGCTGTACTTTATTGAATGCTTTTTCGAAGTCCACGAAACATGCAAATACATCTTTCCTTTGGTCACGGCATTCTTGTAATAGGATGTTAAGTGCAAAAAGTGCCTCCCTGATTTCCATAGCATTTCTAAAACCAAATTGGGTATCTTCAAGATCTTCTTCGTATTTGCGCCTAATTCTGTTGTGAAGTATTCTGAGGAAAATTTTAAGAGTGTGGCTCATTAGGCTAATTAATCGATAATCTGAGCATTTTCTCGCATTGTGTTTTTTAGGTATTGCGATAAAGATGGATTTGAGCCAATCTGCGGAAATTACTCCGGTGTTATATATTGAATTAAACAGTCTTACTACTACTTGTATGTTATCATTCTCTATTAGTTTCAGCAACTCAGTTGTTGTATCATCTGGACCACAAGCTTCTCTTATTTAAGCATTACTTATAGCGTGTTTTACCTTGCATTTCATAATTTCTGGGCCGTCAGTACAGTTTTGGTAGAATTCGGCAAAATTATTCCTGTCATCTTAAAAAAACTCTGATATATACAGCTGCTATTCTTTTCTTATTTCGCGCTCATTTACAATAACTTTGTTATAATTGTCAACGAGTACAGAGGGCACCCGTTTTTTTAAATATGTTAGTCATTTCTTTTAGTTTTTTGTGCACATTAAATAAGTCGTGTTTAGATATTACATCTTCCATTTCGTCGCACCTTTCTCTAATCCATTTTTCTTTGGCTAATTTGATCTCCTTTTTTATTCTTCTCTGCAGGTGTCTATATTCTATTACATTAGATTTTATCAGTCGACGTTGTTCTATTAATTTCAAGATGTCGTCTGTCATCTATTTATTTTTCTTGATTAAGTTTTTTCTATAATCATTGTTTGTGGAGATTTCGTTAACTTGGTTTTTAAATTCACTCCATAGTTCTTCTGGATCTTCTAGTTGTTCTCCGATGTTTTTTATTCTATTGTTAATTTCTTTTGTAATGTCATGTTGTATGTATATATCGTCAAAGTTAAGTTCATTGTTGAATTCGTTTTAACGTTAGGTTAATATCTACTACAAGTGGTTAATGATCATATCCAATATCAGCCCCAGGATATGTAGTGACTTTTTTGACGGCATTTCGGAATCGCTCATTTACAAGTATATAGTCTATCTATTTGATTTCTTAAAGACTCAGGGTTATTGCCATCATCAAATGGGACTTTCCAAGTGTATAGTCGTCGCTTGGGTAGTTTATACTAGGTGTTTGCAATGATCATATCGTTTTCTTTACAACATTCATACAATCTTTGACCTCGATCGCTAGGTTGTCCTAGACCATAAGGACCTACAGTCTGATCTCGTCGACCTTCCCCAATGTTTGCATTGAAGTCGCCTATAATATATAAAATTTCGTGTTTATTAACTTTCTGTAAGATGTCTTGGATCTCATCACACGACTTCGACATCATCATCATATATTCTATCTGCAGTCGGGGCATAGATTTGAGTTATGTTAGTTTTAAATGGTTGAGTATTTATTTGGAGTAATATTATGCTATCCGAGACTGGTACGAAATTGGTCACATATTTACTTAGTTCTGATGTTACTTATATACCTACACCATTTTTGTGATGCAGGTCTTCTGTGCTGTTACCGGAATAATATAATACACTTTCGTCCTTTTTACATAATCCTGACTCTGGTCATCTCATTTCGCTGATTCCCAGTATGTCTAGTTCCAATCAAGACCATCACGCGGGCAGGCGAGGTTGACATTTGGATAGGAGAGGCTATACGTTGCGCATCACTATCTCTTACATCCTCTTTTGGATATTAGCCAATTCAAGAGTTCTTGCTTTCTTCATTTAGTGTTAGGTAACAGTTTTGTGACGTCCTCTCGTAGGAGTCACTATCCGGGTAGCTTTTGGACAGTCAGAGACAGAGTTCAAAATAAAAATAAAACTTTATTGTCTTCCTTAAATTAAATTGACAAAAATCTTATGTACATATTTACAATTTAGTTTAGTCTTCTCAGTACCTGGCCTATTTATTCAAATTAAGTTTGACCTTGTCGTATGAAATTAGTGTTATCGGCAATCAAGTGTGTTTTCGGAATTTTACGTGAACGATGTGTCGATTTAATAACAGCGGACGATAGGTACAAAGGAAAGAAAGAAACTCAACACGTCCCTCAAGTGATTCGGGTTAATAGGACACTCCTCGACAGTCTCAACACGACTGCTTCGGAGTACGGGTAATGGAGAGCTCAACACGCTCTCCGGCTGGCGGTATGGAACGGAAACAACTTGTGAACTCAACACGTCCACAAGCCGGGGTAGGGGAGAAGAGAACCTTCAGTCAACACCTGACGATTCTGTCTCTATGAGGAAATAATGCGGTTTATATAGCAAGGTTTTGCCCTTTCTACTGTCGATACACTCCTACTTCATGGGTTGGTTCGCGCGCACGCTGGTTTAACGGTGATGGCTTGGACTCATCGTTACACCCCCTCTTCCTGGGAAAAAAAAAATTTTTGGAACAAAATTTTTTTTATTTTTATTCCTTGCCAGGTACTTGGTTACCCTAAAAAACAATTTACAATACATCGAAATAAAAAATGTCCGCCCTAAAAAAAAAATAAATATCGTCTTCTTAAAAAAAATCGTCTTCCTCTCTCTTAAAAAACCGTCTTCCTTCGTGGGGCTTCAATTATTGGTTTTTATCCTCAGCACCTGGTTCGGGAGTCTCAGTCTGTATTTTTTTCCTTTATGCTGCGGCGGAATTAGTGAGAGCAGCGGGATTGACACTGGAATTGACTGGACTTTCTGAATTTTTGTGATGCCCATGGCTGGTTCATCGAAAAGGTTTTTAAATTTGGCAATAGCCTTTATCAGGGGCTCGCAGCCTTTGCCCGGGGTGTTAGGTTTTGGTGTGTTCCCCAATGGTGATATTAACTCTGGAACGGTGTATGGTGGCGGCGTAACTGTGCCGTCCATTTCTATGTCACTGTAATATATTTCTAACGTGTCTGACATTATACTTGAAGGTTACTGGTAAACTGTATTAAAATATACTGTCACTACTTGGTGTTGACTGTAAGTGCTTGGACTGATTAAGGAGTAGGGAAATCGGTAAATGCGGGTTTTAGGTCTTTGATATGAGCTGTTATTGTACGGTTTTTATCGTCGTGTTTTAATTTGAATATTACATTAGAACACACTTTTGTTATAGTATATGGGCCTGAAAATTTCGGTGCTAATTTGGCGTTAAAATTTTTGGCGGCATTTGAGAGTTGGTATTCCCTTTTCATGACTTTGTCGTTTATTGTCGGTTTCCACTCTCTTCGTCGTAAGTTGTAGTAATGGCTTTGAGTTGTAAAAGCTTTTGCCAGGTTTGTACGTACTAGTTCGAATGTTTCTTGTAGTTTATGCCATTTTATGTTTTGATCGGTATGTTGTGTGTCGTTTGGGGTTTTTACGACTTTACTTGGAATTTCTAGTTCGTGTCCAAAGTTCAGGAAGGCTGGGGAGAAACCCGTTGAATCGTGTTTAGCTGTATTATATGCGAATAGTAGTTCTGGAAGGCTCGTGTCCCATTTCTTATGGTTATTATCGCAGAACTGAGCTATCATTGTTTTGATTACTCTGTTTGTTCTTTCTACTGGATTATTCTGGGGTGAATATGGCGGAATGTTTC